TTCTCATAGACTTCTATACAACCAGACGAGTCGCCCCCTGGTGGACAGCAGAGAGAATGCAGCTTTACGACACTTCAGCTATAAACCAACAGTAGTGTTAGAATATGAATATTTAGGTCATTGCAATCCCTAGAGAGAAATTAATGTAAGTTTGAGAACCCCACTGCCCAGACTAAACATCAACCTACAGGGATAAAGTCTGACAGACTAGAAGAAGCTTATAACTTATAAACAGTGGAGCACTGCAGCAGATATGACACCGGCGTCCATCTCTGAGGTCACGGCAAAGAGAACAAACTTCTGGGTCCGAGAGCCATCGACGTCCGGCCACGTCAACCTGTCAGAGAGAGAGGGAGGGAGAGAGGGAGAGAAGGAGGCACTAACTGCCGAGAGGAGTCCGAGGTGTCATGGCCTCGTCTGAGAGGTGACAGACAGAGTGTGTGTGTGAGTGTGTGACGGGGAAATAAGACCGCTGAGACGTCTAGGGGACGCTCGTCGTGACCTTTCCTTCTGCCGGGGTCCATCTCGCTCTGTGCATCTGACAACAACTTTAAAGGACCCCTGAGCCCTTGACAGGTGTGTGTGTGTGTGTGTGTGTGTGTGTTCCTCAAAGTGCATATGAGTTTGTGTACACCTGTTGTGGAAAGCTTTACCTAAGCTGTATGTCTCTGTATATGTGTACACACTCACAGATGGAGCTAGAGGACATTTCTTTTTGTCCTAAAATAAAACACTTTGCAGAGATGTTCCTTCTGATCCACCATAAAGTAGTTTCTTGTTAACTCTTTGCACCAGTTCATCCTGAACTCATGGGACAGTTGTTTTTGTTCATTTCAGGTAATGCATTACTTAAGGCACCCGGTTTGTGTGCACGTGTATATACATGGGACCATAAAGGATTTCATCACAATAAGTTGATCGTAGATATCGTCACGACTGACTTGAGAAAGATGTCGAGCTTGCTGTTGTGGTAGAAAAGTGAAAAATAGAGTGATTTGCGTTTCATGCACACAAATAGACACGTTGGTTGTGTTTGAGCCCACGTGTGTGTGTGTGTGTGTGTGTTTACCGTTGTATACGTGCGTTGTGCGGTCAGGAGGTGACGGGCGAACAACAGGGCGCCCGAGCGGCTTTAGGAGAAAGAAAATCCAACAACATAAACAAACCCACGGTCAGTGTGACACCGCGTCACCTTCACTGAGACCGGAGGGAGGGGGGGGGGCAGAGAGACAGGCAGACAGACAGACAGGCAGGCAGGCAGGCAGACAGGCAGACAGACAGACAGACACCGGAGAGGCTCACGGTCCCCGAGAATCTCTTTGAAGTTTGGGAGGCGTTGTCTTTTCCCGCCCTCGGGGCCGTTGCTGCAGGCAGAGGCTCTCTGCTCTGAGAGGAACTCTTGCAGGATTTGGCCCATTAGCTGAACTGGTTTACGGGGAATCTCGTCTGAATGTGGAAACCTCAGACGGTTACACAATTCTTTTAAAGATGAGAATAAACTCTCTTTTTTTTCAAGCCTCAAGACCTGATTGTCCACTGAACGTCTCTCTTCCTCCTGTCTCAGTCATTACTGCTGCTGTGTTTGTGTTTCTGCTCCAGGCTGTTGGGTAAATACTTCCCTACTTCACACCTTCCTCCCTCCATTACCTCCTCTAATGACGTTTACACATCTGCTTAGAAGAGCCTCCTCTCATCCCTCCGTCACCCTGTCGTCTGTCTTTCTCTCCTCCCTCAGACACACTGAGAGCTGCAGCTTTTAAGAACTACTTTCTGGATTATTTGGCCTCTGAATTGATATTTTTAAACAGTTAAAATTCAGAAGGGCATAATGTTCACACGTTCTCTATAATAAGCGATGAAAATACAAACTTAATTCACAATTTACAAAGAGTTCTGAGGGATAAACAAAGAGGGAAGAGTCTGATTTGTTGTGACCACTTGTGCTAAAGTCATCGTAATAGTTTGTGTTTTTACTTTTTCAGAGGGTAAAATAAGTCTTTAGAATCAAGAGTTCAAACTATTAGTTCATTGTTTAGTCGATTGATAGAAAATGAATCTGCAACTGTTGTGATAGTAGAGTCGTGGTTTTTAGTCCAGGAACAAAAAAGCCAAATATTGTGTAATTTGTGAGGATTTGATGCTTTTCTTAACAATATTATTAAACAGAATATCTTTTGTTGGTTGGCTAAAACAAGGAACTTGAAGACGCCATCTTGGGCTGTAACTGGTTATTATTTGCATTCTTTTACATTTTTCTTACATTCAAAAGCAAAACAATGAATTAATTAATTGAGAAAATAACCAGCAGATTAATCAATAGCTGATGATAATAATAATAATCATTAGTATCAGCCCTACGCACTCCAGGAAAGTAGATTATGAACACTGTAGTTTTAAATATAGTTGTATTTTCTCTGTTTTTGTTGTGAGACACCTGAACCTTTCAACTCTTCACCTCCACCTGCCCCAAAAAACCTGGACTTGTGCTTCAAGTGATCTAAACACACTCATGCACATTTGCATGCATCAACACACACACACACACACACACACACACACACACACACACACATCACTCGATAAAGAGACTTGCCCAACGGTCATGTCACCCGAGCTTCATTCGCTTCACCCGCTGATTGACATGTCCCGTAACACACACACACACACACACACACACACACACACACACACACACACACACAGAGTGACTGTACCTGTCACCTCTGTTGAATAGTATTACCTTTACCTCATTTTGTTCTGCCCATCAATCACTTCTATTCTTCTTCTGCCACCAGCTGAATGGGCTTCTGTGGGACTCTGTTAAGTGTGTGTGTGTGTGTGTGTGTGTGTGTGTGTGTGTGTGTGTGTGTG